GTCACAATCAAAGTTGGAAGCTGCAAAGAGTTCGAAGCAGAAATACAAGCGCAGACTGGATGAGAGGAATAACGAACTTGAAATCCTAATCAACGAGAACTCAGATCTCCATCACCAGGTCGGCGACCAGACGCGCCAATTGGGTGCGCTCAAGAAGGGCAAGGAGAAGCTGGTTGAGGAGCTATCGAAGAAGGAGAAGTACATCGGAGAGCTCGGGTCATCTTCAGACAATCGCATAAGATCCCTAAACTCGGCGTACGATGGTTTGAGGAAGAAGTTCGAAGAGCAGCAACAGCAACACCGACAGTTAGACGGTAAACACGACAAGGCTGTTCGCCTCGAGGCCGAGCTAGAGAGGAAGATGACTGAGATTGAAGAGATGCGACATCATCAAGACGAGTATGCGGCTTCATACAATGCATTGGAGAAAGAGGTGCAAAGCTTGCGGGATGATAAGAGGGCGTTTGAGAAACTGGTTGCCACGCTGCAAGAGAAAATCAGACATTTGGACGTCCTAGAGGAGTGGGAGGAGCCGAACGAGCTCAACAGGACTACCTCGCCACGTCACATCACTATCCAGGACGGCCCTTACGATACTGCACCCTCTAGCCCCATCTCTTCTCATGCGAGGAGTTCTATTGGCCACGTTAGCGTGCAGCTTGAAAGGCCACAGACGAGCGCCAGCACCGTCTCCCACGAGGAAGATCTTGACTCGTGGGCGATGCAAGTCGAGAAGATACGCATGCAACGCAATGATGCGGCAGTCCAACTCAAAGGCATGAAGAAGTCGCGACACAACCTCAAGAAAACTCTGAGGGACACCGATGCGCAACTCCACCGGCTAGAGAAGGAAACGAAGACGTGAGTGTCCCATGGAAGGATCACGCAATAGAATGAATGACTAACAAACCTCCAGCAAACGACCCCAGAACCTTCTCCGAAAGAAGAGTCGTCCAATGACTCCTAATCCTCTTATTACTGACCAAGCCCGCACCTCACCCTCCCCGCGCATTGGCTCTTCATCCCCCCAAACACCCACTCGCCAAACCACCTCGAACACATTCTTCTCGCCTCGAACCACTATGAGCGCCAACTCACGGCACAGCACATATATTGCTCCTACCAATCCCGATAAGGGAGCTACACCTTCGACGCCTGAACGTCCCAAGACCAGTCATAGTCTGCGCAACAGGCTGAGCTATCGCCCTACGACTAGTGTTGGTGATGAACATGCGGGCGTGTCGCCTAGGGGGCATGGACACGTGAGAAGGTGGAGTTCTGGATTGCGGAGTTTGTTTCATAAGGATGCGTGATACCTCTGTTTTCGTCTTTGATGTTTTGTTCTTTTTAGTCAATCGTCTCTTTCCACTTCGTGCTCTGCCCATGCTCTTTCTCCATATAGTGTTATTCTTTCCATTGCTGTTGTTTTCGTTGTTCTGCTTCTTGTACACCGGTTATCGTTTCGTCTTTTGGGGTGTTTCTGTGCGTTTGAGATTGGATGGGTCGACTCTCACGGGTCAGGTATTCTGGTTACCAACGGTTCTATGGGAGGTCTCTAGCGTCGCTTTTACATTTGTACAAGAAGTCATGAGGCATTTAGTCATAATCCGTTTCCTTTCTCTCGATCTCATCAACGCCTTCTATCTCGGATGTACTTTAAGCCGACACCAGGGCTAATTCCGATAGCGTATATCTGCCTCGCATAGCCACATTCTAGTTCGCCACTTTTGAGAATCATGGAAAGTCTGATCGCTAGTACTTATTGACGTAAATAACTAAGCGAGCCGTGGAAATGATGAGTATGGCCTGCCACTGGGGTCTTCACCAGCATCTTTGACCCACTAAGCCCAAGCTGTGTAAGACATTGTTTGTTTCTTGGTCCTCTATTGCTGTCTATATGTATCATGTGGAAATAGAAAAGACCACCCTCGCTGAAGCACGACAGCTGCATGGTTCACCTTTCGCCTGACGAACAGATGTCCATCTTGGGCTTTCGCAAACCTTGGAAGCCTGCACCCACAAAACTACAACCCCACTTCAACGATTGGACCGACATATGTCTTCTTGCCTCTGAAAAAGTACCAGGCGATAGCGAAGATTACTGTCCCCCCAAACGTGACAGAACTAAAGTTCATCGATTGTGCATCGACCTCCACAGAACCTGGCCAGAAAGAGAAGAACCACAGTACGAATAGGTACATGCATGCAAACAGATTATTGGCAACACCGAATGCGCCGGGAACCTTCCAAGGCCCCCACTGCAGTGTATCCGGTCCCACCATGGCAGCCTGTGGATTGTGCGGGCTGATGCCTTTGAGACGGCGCCAAAGAAGCAAGGCGCAGACGATGAAGTATGAGGCGTAGAGCCCACCGATGCTGAGGTTGACGATGTTGCTGAAAGCAACGAACGAGCCAAGTGCGATGAAGGATAGAAGTACCGAGATCCCGGCCGTAATCATGATTGTATTAACGGGTATGAGTGTGCGGGGGTTGAGCTGTCAGCGTTAATATAGCCATACTAGAATAGTCAAAAGAGAGGCATTCACCTTGGTAACTTGAGCGGAAAATGGCACGGCATTATCTCTCGCGAATGACCACATCTGTCGAGAAGTGGCGGCCATCAGGCCGACTAGACAGCAGACACCCAGAGTCCACATGATCATAGCCATGGTCGCAGCCCCGGCAGCAGACCCGGTGCCCTTCAAGAAGACGTATAGGTAGGGATACCCAAGCGTCGCTGAAGACTCTAGTACATCATCTAAGTCTCCAAGACAGAAAAGATACGCGATCAACATTGCTAGGCCCAGCGTACCATTCAACAATACACTGATCTGGATGGCTCGCGGTACCACTTTTGACGCATTCTTGACTTCTTCGGCCATCTGTCAGGAATTAGTACGCTGGCAAGCAACCAGCTGAACGACGACTTACGTGGACACATGAATCGACACCTGCAACGGTTAGCACTAAGGCCTAACAAGTCTTACGAAGAACTTCGCTTACCAACAAGTGCGAAGACTGATGATGGTAGTCCAACCATGAAAGAAAGCGCTTGTGTCGACCAACCTCCGGTGTTGACGAATGTGGTGAAGATTGAGGCATCGCTATGAGGAGCAAGATACACAAGTGGTATCAAGATTGCGAAGAAGCCTAGTAAATGCAGTATCAAGATCAGTCCTTCGAAATGTGCGAGGGTTTTGCTTCCAACAGTGTTAATGACGACTGCAAATGCAAGCACGGCCCAACCAAGCAGCATTGCTTGGTACGGCTTTGGCGAGTAAGACGAGTCGCACATCAGAATCGTGCTTTGCAGAATAGTTCCTGCGAGGTATGCCGAAGAAGCGGTGGTGGCCTGCCAGCCGATGAGTGTTACCCATCCAGTGATGTAGCTTGAAAACCTTCTGTACGACGGTGGGGCCAACATGGCGACCCAACTAAGAACGCATCAGCTATGAAGGTCCATAAGATCGGGTCACTTACTGGTACTGCCCACCTGCGGTGGGTGCCATCGAGGACAACTCGGACAAGACCGTATAGATGGAGATGGAACCAATCCATATAAGGATGTAGCCCCAGAAGACACCCGCAGGACCACCATTCAGCAGACTAGGAGTGGAAACTTGGAGTATACCTTCCCAGGTTACCAACACAGTACATGACTGTAATGGTGAAGATGTATAGTCAGTGTATGCCTCTGTTCATCCCATGCACTCAAAACTTACAAAGCCCAATATTTGCATGAAGCCGAAGTTACGCTTCAATGCTGGCTTCTTGCCCAATCGCATAAGGTCCATGTCATCTCGAGTGTAACCATCGTGGCCAGCTTCCTCGACGGCAGAAGCGACTGCTTCAGCCTTCGACCGATTGCCAAGTTCCATGGTTTCAGGTGAAGTATTCTGAGAAACAAACCTACCACAAGAGATAGTAATGAACACTGCAATGAATGCGAAGAAAACAAAATATGATCGCGGCTTCTTAAAGTCGCTGTGATTAGTGGCTTCGCGTTCACACGTCGGTTATGCGAAGATTCATCCAGATTGTTTCGCTAGACGAATCGAGCAGGTTACATGCTGTGCCGCAACTTGTGCCGCATGAGAAGCCGCAGGGTGTCTTGATAACGGAGTTTCCATGATGATTAGATCTTCCGTTCTTGTGCACAACCCACCTATCGACAAAGTGATGTGAAACCTATGTTCGTAATTTTGCTTGCATACCGAGAAGACTCCGAAAAGTCGTTCACACATGTAGTGTACTGCGTGAGCTGTCGTAGACTTCCCTACTCCCTCCAGCTCAACAATATAACCCCCACCTCAATGCGACGATCTTGACTCAATACGCATCCTGCGGGATTCGGGTGGAATTGGCCCTAGATACCGCGGACGCTACCGTCCCGAGCGGTACCTAGTGTTGGCTGCGCCCAGAGTAGCCGCTATGGTCGTACAAAGATCCCATCCTCTTCACCAGAAGCCTCGTGCCGCCGCCTGCCGTCTTGCTTCGTGACCGCAAGTCGTGAAGGTGTCCGTGTCCTCTGATTTCCGTCTGATTGGTGCTCCAAGGTGACACATCTGCACGAATGAGGCGTAGGCATCTTAAGCGACCTATGACACCGTGCCAAGCATATGATATGCTTGTCACGAACGCGCAAGCTTGTCCGTATGCTAAGAACAGACAGATAACCCCCCTTACGTACTCGACATCCTGCCTGTTGCCCAGTCATGCAGGTTTACAAAAGAAGTCGGAAGATTCGCCTACATCCGTGGGGGTGATGCCAGTTGTGTGGACATAGGAACGCCTCTATGGAAGAGTGACATGAGATGCGAGCAGGATCATGTTATGGCACTGGCATCATCCGTGGGCACCATGTGATTTGGGAATGTTAGAATGAGGCACAGAGATAACGGCAACAGGGAGTTGTCCCCTATGTGCTGAACTATATTCAGATATCGCGCTGCTCCAACAAGCAGACCATCAGTGCCACCGCTGGAATCAGCATTTTCAGCATGTTCTCCAAGCGCAAAGCTATGGACGCTGGAAAACGTCCTGCAATCCACGAAGGCCATGCGGCGCCGTTGATTCAGATTCTGGCATGGCTCTTTCTCGTCTTCTCGATATTAGCTGTTACAGCGCAGTTTGCCACCAAGAAAGCTATGGCTCGGCGATTTGTACGAGCTGACTTCGTACTGTTAGCCGCTTTGGTAAGTGTTTGAGAAGAAGGGCCACAAGTGTTCATACTGACAGACGCCATCACAGGTCCTGTCCGTAGGACAGGCAGCTACGCTTCTTAGTCCTGCTGGTCAGCCTATCGGGAATCTACAGGCTGGTCTCTCACCAGATCAGATCGATGGAGCTTGGAAGGTGAATAATGTGAAGTCATTAGATCGCACCACTGACAATTTTAGGCTTTGTTCAGCAGCGAGATATTGAGCGTGCTTACCATTGTTGCCGCCAAAGGCTCACTGCTCGTCTCTCTTGGATCAGTGACACCGGTCGCTGGACACCAGATGATGATGCGCGCAACGGGCATTCTGACGCTACTATGGGGACTGAGTGCTATCTTTCTCTTCGCCTTCCAGTGTCCATCGCCACAGCGATGGGATATTACGAACCCAAAGTGTATGGATATCGTGAGTTAGACCGGTAGTTCTGTATAGCTCGTATCCCGAATTAACTCACTCCAGCGCGCCATACGAACGTACAATGCTGTCATGAGTATCGCGACCGACCTTGCGCTCGCGATCGTGCCTACATTGATGGTGTTGCCCTTACAAATCACATCGGAGAAACGCCTGACACTCGTCACTGGCTTTTGGTCACGCATAGTGTAAGCCACATCCCCGTTGCATCCTTTTACCACCGAGCTTGCGCTGACATGGAAGTCTCGTAGTGTCGTATTCGCCTCCGCTGCTCAGATCGGATACATCCGTAGCCTACCCCAACAAAGCGACCTTCTTCACTCGATCTGGCGCATCGTCGTATGCGGACAAGTAGCTCAAGTCGCTAGCATCATGACCACAACGATCCCCTTCCTGAAACCTTTTATGATGAGCCTCGACTCGGGCCTCTGGAGCGCCAACCATGCTGGTGTTGCTACTACGTCAAGCTATGCATCTGCAGTTCGTACAGGCCATTTGTCGAGCTATGTCAAGATTGCCAGTCAACAGAGTCGAGATCCATCGATCGTGAAAGGAGACAAGGATATCGATATCTGGGTACGCAAGGAAATAGTGGTAAAGAGAGAACCGAGTATCGAGCTGCGAGATATCGGAGGGATTGGAAGATAACTACGAAAGAAGGGTCTCTTTTGTTACGGTACCTTCAACTATTCATTGCGAGCAGGTTTAGTGTCCCATTATCTCAGAAAGTTCGTTGGACTCCAAATCATCTTGCTGTATGTTTTTGGTGTGAATCTCTCATTCACCTTCACTCCCACGCAGCACGCTTAGACGTCCCGCGTAGTCCACCTGACTCTTTCCTCATCGAGAGCAGTGACGTAGCGTCAACAACGCGCTCTCACCTCGCAAGCCAAAAACTCTTTCCACGACTATACCTCCCACCTTCCTTCTCTAACCATACCACCTCAACCAATACCCGAACGTCACCATGAGGCTCAACGCCATCATCCTCGTTACTGGTCTTCTAGCTTTTGCAAACGCTGATCTAGTCGCCCGCAAGGACATTGATTACAACAAAGGCGCTCCCGAGTCACACGGCGTTATTGGCAAGGCTGGTGACGACGCATGCGTAGCACTGGGCTGTGACGCCAGCTTGCCAGCTTGCCTCGAGCAGTGCGCGCCAGGATTGCATTGCGAAGATTATTGCGCGTGTTACTTGCACTCTAACCCAGAATCGATCTGTCGTCAACAGGGTATGTGAACAGCAAAAGGCTTTTGACGCTTCCAATTATGCTAACAGTAAGACAGGATGCGTCAAGGCTCCTCAAGACTGCGACAAGTGGGAGCTTACTGAACGTGACACAGCATCTGCTGGTTCCGCGATTGCCGATTCAGATAGCATTGCTGTGGGCGACCAACAGTCTCCTCCGATCGACCATTGTCAAGTCTGCCGGGCCGCTGTCTACACGTGCCAACAGAACTGCCGCGGTGACAAGGCTTGCGAAACAACATGTAGTTGTCCCGTCACCGACCAGGATAGCTGTCACAAGTGCTCGACTACCACCTGTTCTACCACTGCTCAAGCAGCAGACACCAATGACCCCGAGTCACCCCCAATTGACCATTGCCAAGTCTGCCGGTCCGCCATCTACGCCTGTCAACAAAACTGCAATGGTGACCAGGCATGCAAGACAGGGTGCCTATGCCCCAGCACTGAGCGGGAAAGCTGCGGCAAGTGCCAGTCCTTCAATTGTCCGAGCTCTTAGAGTCAAGCGGCCGTTGATGTTCCTTCGTTATGGGCGGCCATAGGGGCACCTCGTTTAGAGTGGGAAGCTCAACTGAAACGAGGCACATCGATGTCCAGTAGAAGTGATCCTGTAGGAGGGAGTGTGTACATCCTCATAGGCCCAATATTGGATGGTAAATTTCTTTCAGACGTTGTTTCCATCTTTTACACGTGTATGATGAGTGCCCAGCCGGGTATATGTGCATTCGCTCTTGGACGATCTAACGGCATGTGGCGGCATCGCGGTGAGGCTAATTCGTATCGATGCGTGGGCAGACTGCATTGCAGGCATAGGCCGCGTCTTGAAATGTCTGATTAAGCTTTGCCAATGTTGCCTTAGCGCAACATGCGAAGCACTTGTGTTCATAGGGGCTTCCGGGCATAGACAACGGTTCCAGGTAAGTATGCGTGAGCGCGGTAGCTCTTCAGCTCCTTGCGCATCTGCGCTAGATGCACTTGTGCTCGTGCGACGGACCACTAGAGTTGTTCAGTAATGCCCACTATAAGCTTGTCATTAATACTCACACCTCCGACCTGTGTCAACAATCGCAGCATGAAGCCTTCGACCCCGTCCATCAACCGCAACTGGTTCCATCGTCCGATATTCTTGAGATCCTTATCCTTTGGCCAGCCGTTCATAGGCCATTTATACTCCATGACCGTCACATCCACAAAACCGGCCTGTTTGATCCTCTCGGCACTCTCTTCCCATATGGTAAAGGTCTTGCCGAAACGATCGCCCATCTCAACAACAACTTGCCCCCATGTATGGTAGAAGTGATCTGGGCCCATTGTGTCATCGTCGGATATAGGGCACACTGAGTGCTCGACGATCTCTATCCAGCCACCAGGTTTGGTGTGTCGGTAGGCTTGCTGGAAAAAGAAGTCCCAGTCTGGTATGCAACCGAAGAGTTCGCGAATGTGTATGAAGTCGAAGTGGTTCGGCGGAAATGTCCACTCGAGCGAGACATCGTCGATTTCAAAGTGACAGTTGGGTGGAACCCATTCGGGTTGTATGGGAGAAAGGTCGGTACCGGTCACAATCGCAGAAGGATATTGGTCTGCCATGTCCTGAGACTGTCAGTATGAAGCAATACTGTAAGCGAGGTATGCCCTACAATCGCCCATATGCCAGTACCTGTGCCGCAGTCTAGTATTGTCTGTGGGTTTTGTAGAGGCGCAAGATGCAATTTCTGGTCAAGCGTCAAGAGATACATGTGGTGAGCAAAGTCCAATATCTCCTTGGCGAGCTCATCGTTCGGTCCCCAGTATGCGCCGTCTCGGTACGCGTGGTACTGCCGTCCATTCTCAATACGATGGTTAAGAATGGATGACGCGAGCGAATTCGTCTCGTCGCCAAGGAGACTTCCGCTGTCGAAGGCTGAGTCTGAAGAAAAGCCAGCCTCGTCGTCGTTGTTGGGTGGTGAGGGCTCCGAATCCGTCGACAAATGGTGGTGTTCAGGGGCTGGTTGTTGTGGGTATGGCGACGTCGAGCCGTCGCCGAGATGTATGGCACTATCTTGATGATGCATGCCGATGCCCTCGGATGGCTTTTGCGACGACGAAGATGCCATGGCTGCGCGATTCGCGGGTGAGGTATGGTGGTGTGGAGAATCAAGGCCTCAAAGCCCGGAAACCAACAGGTTACATATTGGTGACTCTGGTGCCGATGTACTGGGAATTTGCTGGTGCTGACTCTGGTCCCTCTTTGGTGGCTTTGTCAATGGGCGAGGGGTCTCTGAGAAAGTGGAGCTGTGCAGCGATGGCGTCGCCGCCGCGTCCGCGCAGCATCCCCGAGCAGATCAAGCGGATCGGTCTGCTCCTCCGGCTGCTGCTATTCGTGCGTGCGCTTCCACAACGCGCGCCAAAAGCATCGTTGATGCATCGCATGCACGTCAGTTGAGCGGTTCAGGGTAAGCGAGATCATTGCTTCTCTTTGCCGATGTTGCACGAACAATTTGGGCTCAGGAGGCAGCAAGTCGATATTAAACATAACAACTACCTCCAGAAGCTGTATGTAGGTGTATACGTCCCGTATCAGATGGGTTGAATGTCGTGGTGAACGACGTGATGGGGCGACATTCAGCTCACCGTTCATGTCCTATTCGGCCCGTTCTGGGCCGCAGCGTGAGTTAAAGATGGTGGGTGGGCCGAGCGGCCTTCCACTGTGGAGACTCGAACTTAGTTGTAGAGAATGCGAAGAACAGGTTGAGAGATGACCCAAACATCGCTGATCTCTGGCTATTTGCTATGGAAAAACCAACTGCCGACGGCGAAGCGCGTGCGGCGCAGTTGCCCATTCTCGTAATTGGCTCTGGTAAGCGACGCGTACGCCGCATACCTGCGCATGGTCTCACTCATTCGCAGGAACCTCTGGACTCGCACTCGCTCAAGGCCTTCGCAAAGTACGTACTCGTCTGTGTAACGTAACGTAGATAGTAGCCTTATTGGAGAACCAGGCGAATATTCCGTGTATCGTCTTCGAGAAGAATGGCGCAAAGCATGGCGAGCGCGACTGGAACATGGGCCTTCATTGGGGCGCACCAGCATTGAAAAGCCTCATGCCAGACGGCTGGTGGGATCGCATCCAGAGCGTTTCCGTCGACCCGAACGTGCCCACAAAGGAGCAGGATACGCTGAAGTGGCTGCGAGGCGACACCGGAGATCTGGTCGCAGCCATTACCTTCGGGCCTTTCTACCGCCTACGAAGGAGCAAGTTGCGCGACATGTTAATGCAAGGCCTTGACATACAGTTCGACAAGCGCTTACAAGACGTCTCATATGCAAACGACAATCAGTCAGTCACAGTACATTTCACCGATGGCACAACGGCAACTGGAAGCATGTTGGTAGGTGCCGATGGAGCTCGCTCTTCGACCAGACAGATCCTATTGGGTCGCGAATTGGGTGCCATCAACCACATACCATATGCTGCCACTTTTGTTCAGTGTAAGTTTACCGTGGAACAAGCTCTCTTCTTGAGGTCTTTTCACCCGCTGTACCTAGCATGCGCGCATCCCAATAACAACTTCGCCTTCTTTGGCATGCATGACGCACCGGATGCAGATGATCCGTCGTCCTGGACGTTCTTCTACTATATCTCGTGGAAAAGTAGTTTGGAAGAGCAGGAGGCGACCAAGAATTGGACTGGTGCTCAGCGACTGGCACAACAGAAGGAATTCGCCAAAGAGTTCTGCGACCCGTGGAGGAGTGCGCTTGAGTGGACACCAGATGGCACCCCCGTGTGGTATCTGGGGCTCAGTGACTGGGACCCCGGAATGGAAGGCCATCGTTGGGATAACCACCACGGCTTAGTTACCATGGTTGGCGACGCTGTCCATCCAATGACCTACCAAAGAGGGCAAGGCCTCAATCACTCGGTCACGGACGCTGGAAAGCTGCATGAAGCCATCACTAAGATTCAAGCTGGAGAGGATAGAAAAGCTGCGATAGATGCATTTGAAGAGGAGATGATCAGGCGTGGGGGTGGAGAGGTTAGAGACGGTACGGCGAATACAATGATGCTTCATGATTGGGAACGCGTGAGGCAAAGTCCTCTTTTCACAAAGGGTATGAAAAAGGTCGATGCTTAGCAGAGGACAGCTTCGGTATGCTCTTTCCTTCAACCCACGCTCTCTGTCGGTCATACGAACAAACAATATCATGCATGACCTTTTATTAGCCTCATCCCAAATCCCTGGTCTATCGTTATTGCGATTGATGCAGCTATGTGATTAACAACGCCCTGTCGATACCTGGGTATACATATGCATTACGGTGCTGTGCTGACTGTTGGTTTCGCATTAGCGGCAATTTGGGCATTCAGTACTCACGATTACCAGCATCACGTATAACACCAACACTTCTTTACCACTCTAACATCCTGCGATGATTTCATGTCGCGATGCTCAATTCACTGCAGTCTTTTGTGATGTTGTTGGTGCTGTCTCTGGTGAATTATGGACCCCTCATCTGGCGTTCAGAGATGCCTCGGATAACATTGTCCAAACAACATGACGTCGGCCATCCTCGGTCCTGGCCACAACGCGATTCCAAGTCAACGCTTGACATATACCATCTTTACAGCCTTTGCAGCTGACAGTGCGACGCGTTGCTTCATCACTCCTAACATAGCTCGACCAATCTTACCTCGCTTTCAAGTTCCGAAGGCCTCAGCATATCAGCGATGACTTCCCCTTCCGAGTTCCATGGTTGGCTAGGCCACGATAAGAATGCCGCGCAGGGCAACATGACCTGGTCATCCTTCAAACCCAAGCCGTTCAACGACATAGACATCGATATCAAAGTCTCCCATTGTGGTATCTGCGGCACCGACATACACACTCTGCGATCTGGCTGGGGTGCGACACACTATCCCGTATGCGTCGGTCACGAAATTGTAGGAAATGTTGTGCGAGTTGGAGACAAAGTGAAGAACCTGAACTTGGGCGACAGGGTTGGCGTAGGCGCGCAAGCTTTCAGTTGCTTGAAGGACGACTGCGAGGAATGTAGCGCAGGCATCGAACAGCATTGTACCAAGATGGTTGGCACATACAACGCCAAGTACCCGGATGGAAGCTGGAGCATGGGTGGATATGCAGACTATGTTCGCGTCCCAGCGCATTTCGCCATTAGGATACCAGCTGGGATAAAGAGCGAAGATGCAGCGCCCATGATGTGCGGCGGCATTACAGTCTATGCGCCGCTGAAGAACAACGGCGCAGGCCCTGGGAAAAAGGTGGGAATTGTAGGCCTAGGAGGCTTGGGACATTTTGGCGTCTTGTTTGCGAAAGCTTTAGGCTGCGAAAAGGTCGTAGCGATAAGCCGACGAAGGAACAAAGTCGACGATGCAAAGGCCATGGGCGCAACAGACTATATTGCCACGTCTGAAGACGAGAAGTGGGCGCGCAATCATAGCCGGACCCTAGACCTTATCATTAGTACGGTATCCTCTCCAGACATGCCTCTTGAGTCATACCTTCGCCTCCTTCGCACGGGTGGATCCTTCATACAAGTCGGCGCGCCCGAGGACAAACTCCCTCAAATCGCTGCATTTGGTCTCATTGGTAAAGGATGCAAGATTGGAGGTAGCCAGATCGGCAGCCCCAAAGAGATAGAGGAGATGTTAAAATTCGCTGCTGACAAGGGGGTTAAGCCATGGGTGCAAAAGCGCAACATGAAGGACGCGAATAAGAGTGTGGTTGACATGGAGGAGGGACATGCGCGTTATCGTTATGTTCTTGTAAATGCCGATCATGGAGACAGGGCGAAGATGTGAGCGTATTAGGGTTGTCACGTCATCTAGGCGAGCATATACCATCCACGAATCAAGCCACCACATCAACTCTACTATCGACTTGCTCAAACACAAATCTTACCAGACGATCCGAGATTTCTGACGCTGGCGTTTGCTTCACAAACCTACACTGTCTCGGAGATCCTCGTCTTCTTCGCAAGTCCTCTTGTAATGTCTTACACCACACAGGTTGATTCACGATGCGCGTCAAGCCAGTGCTGTACTACCACCATTGCCTCATTGTGCACGCAGTGAAAGTGATTCCGCATTGCTTGGGTCATGCGTGAGACGAATCTCCTCCGCTGCCTCAAACCGTTACCCCAATGCCTTCGTTCTCACTGGCTCAGATCTCAGGGCCACCCAAGGTTCCACGTCTGCGCGAACCAAACGGGTTGAGTCGCACAGTAAAAGCTTGCGCAACACTCTTCACGTCGTTCATCTGGGCTCCAATTATGTCTTGGTTTACGAAGAAAGCACCCAAGGCGCTTATCATTGGCATGCACCTAACGCGCGATGAGGTCCAAATCCTCATACAAGCCTGCCAAGAGCTCGAAGGCTCTATGACCCGTCAGAAAGAAGAGATGGAAGCCTTCACAAAGACCAAAGGAAGCGATCATGCGCGCCGCGCCATGAAGTCGATTCTAGAGCGTCACCACCGTATCTACGACCGACTCGATAACCTCACCCTTCGCCTACGCAATAACCACTCGAAAGGGTCATTCAGGGTAGAACTCGAAGAACTCGCAAGGATTATGGCGCGCCAGCGGTCACTCTGGGCTGAGCACTCAGGACGGTTGGACCTGGGCTGGAAAGTCGTCTCAGAGCGATACTGGCCACTGATAGCTGATAGCTATGCGATCCTCTTCGATATTCTCAGTAGCTTCAAACAAATCCTCAACAGCAGTTTGCTAGACGACGCACTCTGGTCTGACGAGGCGATGAAGCGAAACCGTCGCATTTGCCCCAAGTCCCTGAAATCGGCACTCAAGGGCTCTTCCCTTGGCAAGCCAAAGTCAAAGGACAAACATGTCGTTTTCGAAGAGACATACCATTCGCGCATTTTTAGCCAAAAAGATGCGCCTAAGGAGGTGAGCGAGGCGCATGCGAATGCTGAATGGCAAGAGTATGGGCGCGGCACTGATTTCGTGGGGAAGCTTGCCAGTGACGGAAAACGTTCGGCGAAGCATTATCAGACCAGGGTGCATAAGAAGAAGACAGACACGCGAATTGCGGTGCCTTATCGGGGGTCAATAAGGAGGGCCGAGATTAGCGATAGAGAGAAGCGACAGGAAGAACAGAGGAGAGAAATACGACCGGTATTTGAGCGACCGAAAGTAGAGACGGGGCGAAGAATGACAGGAACCAGGATGTTCTTTGACAATTTGCAGGAGACGAGAATGTTTGTCCCACTTTGAAGAGCGAGACACTGTTGGCGAAGATTGAGAGCGGGATCTGAGGATGAGATAGGCGTCGATGGATTTCTTTGACATGGAAGTAGACATTTAAGCTAGTGATTAAACCTCAGCGATGAAGCAATGTACCAGTACCGATGTCCCATCCTCATCAGATCACCTACTCCAGATCGGTCCAGTCATCCTTTCTACGGAGCGCCTTTCCAAGTTCCTTGATTGCATCACCCAGCGGCTTCTTGATTTGCCGTTGATACACCGCCACGACATCCCGTACACCCTGAACATCTACCATCCCGTTCTCCCGTCTCCCATCTACCATTACCTTATTCAATTCCGTGAACGCTTCAAGAAGAACCTGCACCGGCCCTTGAGCATTTCCAAACCGCTCTAATACCTTGATACCATTTTGAAGGACGAACTGACCACGCGTGGTGAATTCGTTAACTATCTCTCTACGCTTCTTCTGAGACGCAACACCCATGTCGTGGAAGCTCTCGATCTGAGCATCAATATCAGATTCGAGTTGCTTTAGCGTCCCCAAAGTCTGTTCAGTGTCTTTGCGTGTTAGGACGGTACTGTAGATACGAGATACCTGACGAGCGCGCCTAAGCTCTTGTTGCAAACGACGCTTCCTGGAGGCTTCGGTTTCGAGCTCGTTGTCGGATTCAGGTGGTGTAGAGTCCTGGACAGCGGCAGAGAAGCGACCGTGACCGAGCAGAAAGGAAGTAAAGCCTGGCATGTTGGACTGTTGCGAGGTTGATTTGGTTTATGTGATGGTTGAAGAAGTTCGGTACTTGTGGTGGTGATGATAAAAGTGAACGGTGACGACAAAATGTTCTGTGCTGTTGAAAGGTGGTAGAGATATAGGCACCAAGCTTCAAGATGCTGCAATATCTGGTCTTTAATTTAGTAGTAGGGATCTTACATGGCGCACAAAACACGCCTGCCCTCAAGTCACAGGGGCGGGCTTCTGTATTCACAGGGGAGTTTGCTAGAACCTGCACAATTACATCAATGGAGTTGCAATCACGTTTGTTTCACTAGCAGCACAGAATTCGCGTAGACAAGTGAGAACGTACAGTGCGTGCAGAAACATTCTTGTCCTTCCACGACGGATGGAACGCTTGTAATATTATGAATACCCACAAGTAGCAAAACAATGCGTCATGACAAGTGTTGCAAGTGTTCGCCGACCGATTTCGATCAGACCCAACAGTCTAGTGGTAGTGTTCCATACTTGCCTTTTCAAAGCAACTCCAGACTTTTGCTGCGAAGCCAAGCCGAACAAGGTTTCAGATCAAATGCCGATGTTTCCCGAACCAGCATGCTTGTTGTGCTTCGTCGAGGTGGGAGTAGAGCAATTTAGACAAAGTCATCCGCGGGCAAAGGTGTACCAATCTGAGTGCGGTCGCAGGTCGCTTTCACCGTATCATCCAAACGGTCCAGGTAGTGATCCAAAGTCCCATTGGGGTACTATCGAAGGCGATCCTCTGTCCGAGAAGTCAGCTTCAAAGGCCTGTAACCATCTTGTTAATCTTTTCCAACTCACGCATTTTGTTCAGCTCGTCCAGAATCAACTGGAGCTCTTCCTCGTCCATGTTCAGCGAGGGAATGAGCGTGGTGGCTTCCTCGGCGGTATCCGGAGTCAGCGTTCCTAACACTGTTGTCAGTACAGCGCTTCCTCTCTTCTGGCTCATGTATTACCCAGCAGCGCCTTCTCGACAACGGAGATCTCGGGGTGGGCATCGAAGAGGGCAGCAATGGAGTGCAGACTGTCTTCTTCCTTGTATCGGGCGAAGTTGTCGAGGTAATCGAGAAACTGCGTGATGGTTCTGCTGCAGTCAGCACCGGCCTTTGACCCTGCAGCTTGTGCGCAACGACTCACATGCTGTCGTTGTATATCCTGTCGCGCAGCGGATTGTTCTCGGGGTCCTTCTTCTTTCGTGCCTCGTGGACGGCTGTGACGACGGCGCGCGCTTCGGAGACGGACAGCGCATGGACATCTTCAAAATCGCCCAGCTTGATCTCAGAGCCCATCTCCTCCTCTTGCTGCACCGGGGGCTTTGGGCGAGAGACTAGCCTTGGGGCCTTAAACACAGGCGGCTCCTGCCTCTGGGTCGGCGCATTTTCCGACTCTCCTTCCATGGTGAAGGTCGGCAGTGAGTGGTATGACGCGGTTGGGGTGAGTGGTTTAGAGGTCTTTGTTTTGGATGCAACGGGTTATGGCGGCCCGGGTGGTGAGTGAGCTCGGTCCTGCTAGTGAAAGCGACGAAGCTGGCGTATGCGTGAGGGTGAGGGACGGTTCTGGCAGTAGCGACGGGCGTACCTTGCAGTCGCGAGCAACAGGCTGGACTGGGTGGAAGTCGCGACTGTCGAGATCTCGAACGCCAAGGCCCAAGGACGCTAGCATGTCAGCCATGAACCTTGAAACAGGCGGCTTGAACAGCCTTCCCCGCTGACTTCCATCGGGTGCCTAATGCTCAAGGAATAGCCTGCCATGTGCCGAGGATGCTGTGGGAAATAACTCGTGTGTGCGTGTGTGCGTGCAGACGACGTAGTGCATTTTGTGAAGGCTGCGTGCGTATCGCGTATGGCTAGCTGTATACGCAGCCGAGGACAGAACAGGTGCATAACATGCCATCTAATGCCGGCTTTCTTCAAGGCTAAACTAAGCTCAAGGGGTCGATGCTGCTGCCGGGCATGCTCATGTGCATCGCAATCAGCTTTTCACCAAAGCGGCTTAGCCCGTTCACCGACATGCGTCCACTCCTCGAACATTGACCACAGCCGCAGTGACACAGGAACAACCACCAGCCTCACACCACACGACGCCTCCTGTGAATCTTCCGCCAAGCACACAGTGGTTGCGCTTCTTCGAGTTGCATGTTCGTTGTCGTTCAATCCCTCTACTTGCCCTACCCGCCCTGACCGCGTTTCATCCACCGCTCAGGGTCCTCGTCCTATGCCCCCCATAGCACGTCGGGCCTAATTCACCACCACGCCTCCCTCCTCCGCGGCGGCCGCATGCCGAACGAGTTGCTTTTGCGCCCATTGTACATAGCATCCCTTACATCCACCACACCCGACCGAGCCAGCAGCTGCGCATCCAGACACAGAGCGCGCTCGCCAACGCACCGCCGCCGCCCTTCGACCCTTGGCCACCTGCCCGGATAGATCCACCCGCGACTCGACACCCCTCTCGTCGCCAGCACCGCCTGCACGACACCGTACACCATACCGCGATACCTGCCCTCAGGCCCTCTGTACACACCCTCGCCTCTCTGTCACGCGCCCCTCGCACCTCGGCTCCCACACGAACCTGTCACGTACCCTGCATCACAGAGCACGACTACCGAAGCTGGCGTAATTGGACATGGGAACACCGGCGGAGGGACCGCCTCCGATGGATAATCAGGGCGCCCAGTCACAGTACACTGCCTACGACCCGCGCAATGGTGGCCTCTCGAGGCGAGCCACCGACGAGGCCGCATCCTCGTCCAACAGTCTTGCGCCCTATGACCGCACCAACTATCCCCCGCGATCGTCGACCGACCCTGGGGAGCAAAACCAGGCCGCCCCGAAACCAAAGCGTAGCGGCAAGATCTGTGGCAAGTGCGGAGAAGGACTGACTGGACAGTTTGTGCGGGCTTTGGGCGATACGTACCATCTGGAATGCTTTACCTGTCACGTAAGACACCCATGTTGTTTCTTGGAATGGAGGAATTGGGCGCTTGCGTGTCTTTGTGCCCTGCAGTGGCTGGACTTGGCGCATTGCTGTTCAGGGTGGACTGCTTCCAATATTCTTGAGCGCTTGATTTCTCCATGTAGCTTTATTGATCATCTTGCTGACCTGCGTCTAGGACTGCGGCAAAATTGTTGCATCCAAGTTCTTCCCCGTTCCTGACAAGCCCCCCGGGCAGTACCCCCTCTGCGAGACAGACTATTTTCGACGGCTCGACCTCCTTTGCTTCGAATGTGGGCAAGCCCTGCGTGGCTCATACATCACAGCGCTCGACCGCAAATACCACATTGAGCACTTTACCTGCTCCGTATGTCCCACAGTGTTCGGCGCATCCGACAGCTACTACGAGCACGAGGGAAGCGTCTACTGTCACTACCACTACTCCACCAAGTTCGCTCAACGGTGCAACGGCTGTCAGACATCGATTTTGAAACAATTCGTTGAAATCTTCCGAAATGGGCAGAATCAGCATTGGCATCCGGAATGCTATATGATTCACAAATACTGGAATGTCAGGCTACATTCCACAGGCCAACCAGTCATCGAGCGGTTGCAAGATGCCGATGGCGACGCGACCGACGAGGTGCGCGAGAGTGTGCGCCAACAGGAGGAAGAGATCGAAGCTAAAGTCAATTGGATCTGGAAGACCCTGTCGGCTTTCGAGGAAAAGTCCGCGACGTGCATCTCCGACATGCTGCTCCATGTCAGTAACGGAGCTTACGTTGACGGTGTCATGGCAGCTAAGAAGTTCATCGTGCACGTCGAACTGCTTTTTGCGGCTGCAGATGCGCTCGACGCGCAGTTAATCGTCAGGACGCCCAAGGGACTGACCTACTCCCGCGAATCGAAGCTACTCTGTAAGAAAGTGGTAGCCTTCTTTGCGCTTCTTACCCAGTCCCAAGGTACCGGCGTTCGACGACTGGGCGTGACCCAAGAACTGTTGTCACTGGTCACTGGTTTGGCCCACTACCTAAAGCTCCTCATTCGCATATGTCTGCAGGGTTCTCTAAAATTAGAGCGCGAAACCCGGAGCTCGACCGGTTTGACCAACTTCCTTACCCAAGTCAACTCACTCGATGCACGGTTGGAAGATGAGGCCCAAAGGGACCAGGCCGCTGAGTCCGCCCGGCTTGTCCCAAGATGGGCCGACGCATGTCCCATTTGCGATGCACAGGTCGAAGACAAGTGTTTACATCTAAACAACATGTCGTACAACTACAGCTGTATGGTGTGCCGTGGGTGCAATGCTGACCTGCGCCATAACACTCAAAATGCCTATTGGAGTAAATCCAAGCGAAGTATTTTCTGTCCAGCATGTGCTGCAGCGCAGCCAGACGCTGAGAATGGTTTCGAGCAAGTCACCAAACTGCGTCAATATGTACATCTACTGAACGTAGCGCATGCGCGCCTCATGGCGACTTTGCGATCCAGTGGCGCACTGCCACACACTTCAGGTAAGAAGAACTCTCCTATAGATCACACTGTCACCACTCATCTTGACACCTCGACTCAGATTTCTGGAGCCGCTTCCGAAATTACATTCGTCCCACTAATGACTTGTAGATGATCCTAACCTGACAGGCTATGATTCCACACAAGGACATCGCCTTGGGGATGATCCACCTCACTTACGACCCGACAATCGCTCCAAGTCGTATGGAGGGACATCAGCGACAGATAGTCAAAACAGCAACAATGCCGCGTATGAGCAATCCATGTCTGATATCAAGCGCCTAAGATCAACGCGACTTGACAAGCATCTTTCCAATACCATGAAACGTGCGCGCCAATCGCGAATCATTGACGGTCCGGAGGGTCTCGGTTCTGGTGGAGACGGACAGCTTCCAGGAGGCATGCAAATCGTCCAGGAACGCGAAATTACGAACGAGGCCGACGCTGTAACACTCGCCGTAAACTCTCTTGCCCTGGATGATATCGCACGTATGGCCGCTTTGGAACAGCAACGAGAGCAGCGTCCGAATGCATTCCGTGCCGGCGGAAGCGCACTACTAGGACGGGATGACCAGCCGAGGCTACAGAACGGCCATCGTCGTGATTTCTCTGGGGGTCAGGAACTCCAACAGATATCAGAAGGCCGCTCGCGAACCTACTTTTCAGAACTTTCGCCGCTTGAGTACTTCAAGCTGAAGGGTCTTGCGGTGCTTCAGCTTGGACTTTTGCTCGACGACAACCAGTACAACCAAGGCGATCTTCTAGATCTCATCGAATCGAAGAAAAACAACTTCTGGGGCAAAATTGGGTTCGGCAAAGCGTTCAAGGCCGACAAAAGCAAACCGAAGAAGGGCGTTACAGGAGTCGAGAAGCCGGTTTCCGACAAAGCAACCTTCAGACAATCGCTCGAGTACCTCGTCGAAAAATATGGCGATGAGTGCACGGAAGGTGTAGGACCGGGCGCTCTCAAGGTTCCAGCTTTGCTTCAGGATTGTATTACCGCGATGAGAAGTATGGATATGTCCATTGAGGGTGTGTTCAGGAAGAACGGTAACCTCAAGGCTCTGCGCGAGCTTGAGGAGGAAATCGATGCCAATGGTGTTCAAAAGGTCGACCTCAACACTAAGAACCCAGTCATTCTCGCCAACCTCTTGAAGCGCTTCCTTCGATTGATGCCTGAGCCGGTATTGACATTGAAGCTTTACAGGCTGTTCATGGTAGCTAATGGTAAGTTTCTCTTGATTGCGCTCACGATGTTTGACTAACAGAAGCAGACATTGAGGACGAAGCGCAAAGAAAGAAAGTACTGCATCTAGTGCTTTGCCTACTGCCCAAGGCCCATCGCGACACCATGGAGGTTTTGTTCTGCTTCCTGAACTGGGTGTCGTCTTTCCACACCGTAGACGAAGAAACGGGCAACAAGATGGACACGTGGAATATCGCCACTGTGATGGCTCCGAACATCCTACGTGAGAGCAATGACAAAGAAGTAAAGAGCGTGGATCAGGGTGCTGTCAAGGTCGTGTTCGATCTCATCGAGAACAACGATGAGTTCTCAGAGGTATGTTGCATCGTCGTTCTGTCCTTGTCCAACTCTAACGCAGCCAGGTACCCCCCGAAATCATGGAACTACTCAGCGACGAAGTGTCCGACATGAGCGCAAAAGAAATCATGCGACAATGGGAGCAGCGGGGAAAGAATCCTCTGTCGGCACCTACGCCGTCGCCTAGGGACCAAACTGGCACTGCTTCTAGGAAAGACCAGCGTAATGCGCCTCAGATTACGACAGCAGACAACAACCCCTCGGCACAGGCTGGTGAGGCGTCAGTCCGTCAGGTCCCGGGCGCAGGCGCAGGCGCAGGTCAACCAATGCCTTCCGGCAGCAATCAGCACAGCCCCACCCCAGGATATGACCGGAGTGCACCTAACCCTGCATTCGCCCAGAACACTCAAGGTTCGCCTGACGGCCATCGCACTGCATCTCCTCATCGGCACAGCTATCGCTCGCCTGGCTTCCAAAAACACACACAGATTGGCACCGCGGGCGCTGGATGAGACACGACAACTCTCTTTTTGGGACTGTACCGGAGTACATGGCGTTGATTGCATGCACCGTTTTCATGGCTTGAGCGAAAAGCATTCAATGAGCGGTGATTCTATTCTATACCCCTGGCCGGAGTCTACGTTATGACATCTAGACTGGCCAGTCATCTTCACGCATTGGCTTAACATAAGTCTGACGACTGTTTGACTGCATTGTAGCATCATGTGCTGCTTGATGCACACTGGAGGGACATTTTTTGCAGCATTGATATGGGCGTTTCTGGGTAATCACATGTGCCATATACGATCTTGGCATTGTTTACGGTGGCGCGAACACGCGCGTGGGAATGCCTGTAGAGGAAAACGGTGGAAAGCGCTAAGAGTACCTCAGTTGGGGACGGGTAGGCTTTGACGGCGAAGCTGCATGTGAGGCATATAAACTACTACTGTAGAGGCCGAGTACGCAGGTGTGGATAATGTATGGAAGTCGCCCGATGTAGTCTTCAAAGGCTTCTGTTGCCTGCCTTTGGTAGATGCTTCAAGGCCTCATGTAGGTATCTGATGATTCTATCCCCTCTCTTCACCTCATCCTTCACCTCCCCGTTGTTTTGATTACGAGGGACGCGCCTTCCTCATCTCCATCATGCTTGGCAGACACCACAATCTCGGCCCACCTTTGCAAGACTCATCCCTCATCGCCTGCGACAAACCCTCACTTCGGTCAACGGTTCTTTCTTTGCTCTTTCTGCATACACGTCGTAATTGTTACTGCTCACGTCCAAAGTGCATCGTCTCGCAACAGCACGTGTTGTTGAGTGCCTTGAGGCGACGCCTCCCCTTACCTGCCACAAACGTGCTCACCTGTTGCAGCATTGTCCATCACTCCAAGATGGATTCTGCGACTGCCCAGGTTGTATTGAAGCTCCAGCTCGACGACGTAGACGCTATTCTGAAGACCTTGCCTAAAACTGACAAAAACGGTGCCGTCAACAGCGAACGAGTCGCATTTGCGGCGCTTGGCGATGAGCTTCTGAGGAAGTGGAACAATCTTCGCGGCCAGGCCTTCGCTCGCAACATTGTTCAAGAAGAAAACTCGAGTCGAGAGGCGTATAAGAAGCTCTTGGGCGAGGAGCAGCAAGCTGAACGTAAGTACACACGGCTTAACCATGCAACACCAAGCCGTGCTAACACGATCGAGGCGACCATGATTTAGCTTGCAGACTTTCCGGCAAGCCCGTACCTCAGCGCCCTGCAGTCCAACACGCGTACGCTATGTACAAGAACGTGGCTGACCAGAAGTCTGAGCCCGTCAATGATAAGACTCTCGCAGACAAGGACCTCCACTCTGATCTCACTAGCATGCAAACGAAACCTTCGAAGAACGGGCTCTTATCTGGCAAAAAGCGTCTTGCCGAGGATGATTTGAAGCCCGATCTTGGACCGAACAGCTTTAAGCGTGCGCGTGTCGATGATGCAAAGGACGAAGACGATAACTCCATCACACCGAACATTCGTACGACTACGTCAAAAAAGCGCACTGTTTCTCTTGATCCGGCAATATTCAGGGAAAACGAAGATGGAAGAACAAAACGAGCGAAACTTGATAATCCGACAAATGAGTCTTTGCTCAGTGGCCATGATGGGACTGCACAGACAGGAACCTTGTCAGCAACTTGCTCTTCTTGCCTGGACATACACGCGACGTGCAATATGCTTCAGCTCCCATGCAGGAACGACGGCGATGTTGAGGCGCATGCATACTGCCGCGAATGTCTCACTCGCCTCTTCGAGTGCTCTATAACAGATACTTCGCACTTCCCACCCCGATGCTGTTCCAAGATCATACCGATCTTCAATTGCATTCCATTCTTACCCTCAGCAGTCTTTTCTAGATTCGTGGCTAAGAGAGAAGAGTTAGAGATGGTGGATCGCACATATTGCAGCAACAAGACATGCTCGAACTGGATCAGACCTGCCAGTATTGTAGCAGACACAGCTACGTGCGCAGAGTGTGCTCAGAAGACGTGTGTTACGTGCAAAAACGAGCGACATGATGGTCTCTGTCCAGAGGATAAGGATGTCAAAAAGCTCATGGGCGTTGCCAAAGCCAAGCGTTGGCAGACGTGCCCAAAGTGCAAAGAGATGGTTGAGCTTGAGCGAGGCTGCTTCCACATCAAGTAGGTGCTACGTTGGTGAGAGGGATCAAGCTGATAGTTCAAGGTGCCGCTGCCAATACGAGTTCTGCTATACATGTCTAGCCAGGTGGCGAACGTGCAAATGTCCACTCTGGGATGAGCGTAGAATCGTTGATCGTCCTATTCCCGCAAACGACGCCCCTCAAGATGCTGTGAACCTTGCCAATGCTGTTCCACCCGTCCCTGTGGCCCACCCGAATCTTCTTCCTGCTCAGCCAACCGTACGCGCAGCTCAGCCTCAGCCTCAAGTTCCGGCTCAACCTGCAGTTCAGCCCACCAGCAAGCACAAAGACAATGGCCGTAGAAAGAGGCAACGAAACAAAAAAAAGAATAACCGGAGCCACGTCCATAAGTCCGAGCTGTATCATCGTAGTGACGGGCACGATACGACATGTAATCGCTGTGGCTTTGTGGACAGATGGGCCAACGGCTGCCAGGGTTGTGGCTTGATGACCTGTCGGATCTGCACGAAACATCGTCTCTGAAGGGGGATTGGATCATGATTGTCTCGGACTCGAAACTTATCACATCTGACATCGAGACGAGACTTGATAGGCGGTCGAATTTGTGGCAAAGATAAAGAGACTACGTGGGAATACTTCCATAACAACGTTTATCGTGTATGTATATTGAGCTATCATGGCGTTCGATACAAACCGCTTCGTGCTCTCCCATCATCCACTACTCTATAGAAATCTACTTCTTCACAGCAACAACAAACAACCTCGGATAACCCAGTAGCACGTTCCCGTCCTCCAACGCAGGATACTCGCTCTTCAATTTTCTCTCATACTCTTCCAAAAATTCCTGTTTCTCATCTTGAGTCTTAATTAGATTCAGATAGGGTTGCAAACCTGTTCCTTTGACCCATTCCACAATCGCCCCCGCATCCTTCAACACATGCATATAATTCGTCCTCCAAATGTTCACGTGACTTGCATATGGGATGAGCGCATTATAGAATGCTGACGGTGGCTCTATAGGATCGAGATCAGGGCGCGTGGTATCTGCCAGGTCGCCGATGACGGTCGAGGAGAAAGAAGAAGACCAAGGCTTCTGAGTTTGGGATGCGACTTCGCGCATAGAGCGATGGGAGGGTTCGTAATAGTTGTCTGGTACTTGTATCGCTATGACGCTTCCTCTTTCCAAAGACTCGAATAATCGCACGAGAGTGGGTATGCGTTCTGGGGAGCGGAGCCAGTGGAAGACTGCGTTGCTGAAGAGTAGATCTGGCTTTTCATCTGCTTGAAACGTTGCTAGATCTCCGGGTATGAAGTTCACGGCTTCTTTGTCGGAGAACTCGGCGTTGGCTTTTTCAAGCATGTCGGGTGAACTATCCATGCCCGTGATGCGTGCAGAAGGGAAGGCATCGAGAAGAACCTTTGTGCTGTTTCCTGGACCACAGCCTAAGTCGTAGATACGTGGCTTTGGCCCGGCGATATGGGGTTGGATCTGGGCGACCAAATCGTAGACAGCGCGGGTGCGTTCATTATTGAACTTGAGATATTGGGTTGCTGACCAGTCTTTCTTTGCAGATTCGGGGCTGGACATCTTGGGAGAGGCGTGATATTGGTTTGTGTGGGAAGGATTTCGATGGTAAGGTTTGCGTACTGTGTGCCGTGGGTTAAATGGATAAGTCAAAGTTGATACACTACGGAAATGTATCCGGCTGTGAGTCGTATTGAGGCGGGGCGATCGCAATGAGGTGCAAAGTCCTTGGGAGGTGCGGAGAGCTGGTACATTCATCTTGTTCAACGAAGTCAGTCACTCTAAGAAAAGAAAATGATGTTATCTGAGGGATTGAGCATGTAGGAGATGTAAGGCAAGCTCATGTAGAGTTCATGGTTGTGAGGCCTAGCAGTTAAGCTCAGCGAATCAGACGTCATGTGTGGGGTACATATCCAATAAGTGGGGCTAAGCTCCTGGCCGCACATATGTCCGGGGCGTGCTACTGCCGAAGAGCTTTGTACCTTCCGTATGTCAATGCAACATGATATGGCGCAACACGAAGAAAGGTAAAATTTGATTGATAAGCTGAAGAGAAAGCCACTGCAAGGTGAACCTTTGACGTTTTGCTCTTAGACAAGGCGAGAAGACTTGAATTATGTACTTGTACGTGAGACCAAATCCACTACGTAGCACGTGCTTCGAAGACACCATTTTCCAGTGACATTTAGGGAGGCATCATACCTGGCGGGTTCTTACTCACACGACCCGTTCTGCCTGCCGTGATTTCTGGGTAAGGTATGGCGTCACCTTCGCTGTACTCAATCGGCGCATTGGGGTCGCCTGGTAGGCGCGCGGGCGTGCCGAAGACTTCTACTTTCAGTGTCTCGGCGTCGGGAAACGGAATGCGATCACCACGTTCCTGAAAAAGTCAGTGTCGCTCATAATCTCGAAGGTCTACAAACTTACATCGTGGACGTTCCATGTGAGGTAGGAGCTCAAGTACGGTACCACGTCATTCGGATCCAGGCTGGACAACTCATTGGCATTGACTCGATCAACGAGATAGGTTGTTATACTCGTTGTTCCGTTCATCTTGTTCTCTGACTTTGATTGAACGTCCATTGTGCGCACATCGTCGCGCTCGGGCATCAGCATCATCCAACTTCCCAAGTCGATTATAGGATCGGACTGGAAAATACCGATCAGCGAAAAGCTTACCATAAACGTCGGGGGCAGCCTGGAAGCAGTAGCTTGCGTTTCGATAGTCCATTCTGTGTACGTGTTGTTGTTATCCAATAGTGCTTGTCCGAAAGCCGTCATATGTTGGGCGGTAACTTGGACTTGAGCTTGTGCGCGTGTACGTCCGCC